AGGAAAAGGGGTTGAAGAAGTTTCCAACCTGGCCCAACTTCGACGTTGCCGGCCTTGGAGTGAATTTGCCGGCCCATGTCACACCGACTACGGAGCGCGGGTGGCCAGAATCACTGACATCTCTTAGAATGCAGTATTTCCCAACAGTTGAAACAGTGTTTGTGAGGCTCCACACCGTACATGACAGAAGCGTTCAAGGAGGACTGCAGCATGGGAGAGGCAAGGAGAAGGGTGCGCAGCAATGTCTGGCAACAAAAAAGCTTTTCAATTGAACCGAATCGGAAATGGACATGTCAAACACAGATTGCAAGCCCACTTGTTGCTGTGGATGTTTTTGCCAACTACCCTCGAAGACGGAGGTCCGAGGCCAACTTCCAAGAGGCAGCCCGACCAGCATGGAAGGAAGGGGGAAAGCCGTATAGCTTCACCCACTCGAGCACAGCAGCCGTGCTTCAAGAAGCCGGACACCAATCAAGGGAAACCGCGAACGAGCAGCGAGGGAGCTGTCTTGCAATCGGGGTAGACAAAGCTGCCGTCCGGCCAGGATCGAATGCGTTCAACAATATCAATCCGCACGCATGCCGGGGTGTTTGCCCAAGCCAGGTTGATCAGCCGTTCAGCGCTTAACAAATATTGATATCAACTTGGAAGCTGGGGGACTACTTTCGAGATACGCTGACGAAGACATCCTGTCTTTTTATGGCTGGACCACAAAGTTTGGCAGGCCTCCACCTCTCCCACAATCCCAGAACACGTGCGCTTCAGGCTTTACGGCGCTGCCGCGACGTTCGGAGCAGCAGGCCTCGTAAATTTATGCCGGTCGCTAGGTTGATATGGTTGATCACACCAGGCTTCAGGCAAGCCCATCTGTTTAGGAAGCCAAGAGCGCTTTGGAGCCGGGGAGCAAGCGCGTCACCTCCACGACGCTCCCTTTCGGAATTTCCTTTTGGTCGCCTTGGAACAGCACCTGAGAACTCGGAAGATATGAAATCTACATCATTGTGTTTGCTGGCTAATCGAAGCGCTTCCGATTTATTGGCTCCGGTTGTGATCCGTCGAACTCACACCCTCGAAAGCAAACTCCTGGTTGGTGCAGTCAGTCTCACATTCGAAACATATCGAGCCAAAAGGCAGCGCGTTTGAGCTCACCCTCGAATTTCTCAGGGGGGCTGCATTTGCCATGGTAGCGAATCGCGCTCGTCTTCACGTTGCCCATGTTCTCAGCGAGCTCTGCAGGCATGTCATTGGTTTCGGCCAAGACTTCCAGGCATGCAGATGCAAACTCTTGAAGGGATCGGCCGGTGCATCGATAACCGTCTGAAATCAAGGGAAGCGAAACTGGGCCCACCGAGGCGTCCAGTCTACAAAACCAATAACATGCAGATCAGGTGCTGTGGGACTTGCCGTCTGGGACAGCTTCAGTGTCTCGTTACCCAGTGCCTGCCGCGTTCTGAAAAGCTAAACCTGCAGAGTCGGATTCAAGCCCATACCTCATGGAAGCGCAGCTTGAGCTTGTTGACCTGCATGCAGGACTGCTGTGCAAAGCCCGTGTGCTTCTTCATGATCTCACGAGCCTTTAGCAGATAGGACGGCGGAACATGCATTAAGCCCCTGTATTTGTAGCATGGTAAATTTGCACATTGACCCTCTCATGGGCTGTCGGTGCTTCGTTGGCAGCTCTTTTCGAAGATCAGTTCGGTTTCGGAGTGAACGCCCTGTACGTCGTCCCTGGCTCAACCTGCATCGATCTTCCCAGTAGTACCGGTGACCGCGTCTGCTGCTGGACGCGCATGTAGAATGCATGCTATGATATGACAAGCGATTTGTGATCAGCTCTCCAGAACAAATCCTTGTGCGTTGTTTACGTGGGTGCGTGTACATTACTTCCGCGCCTGGCCTAGTAGGCCAAACAAATGACCTCATCCCACATCTGAACACGTACCGCCTGGGCCAACGCCTGGGACTTCTCAAATTCCTTTGGGGAGGAGGCCACGGTGTCCGCCTCCTCACCAACTTGATCGGCGAGAGGAGGAAGGGCCGACATCAAAAGGACATGCGTTACTTTTCTTCCTTCTCAGTAAGCAGTATCCTTTTCTCGACAGGCGCTAGAAACACGACTCCCTGCAGACGCTTTGTCTTGTTTCGACGCTTACACCTCTCAGTGTCAATACCAGTAGGTTCATCACAGCAGAGACGGGATTACCGACGAGTCCTAAGGCCAGTGAAGCAAGCCATGTCGTCACAATCAAATTACGTGGTGCGCATGCCAATGCAAACGAGACGGGACATGGTGCTGAAAAGCTCGCCAATTTGACCGTGTAGATGGAGCTAAAAACAGGACACTGGGAAACAATCACGCTCTTGCCTCTCCTTTCATCATGTGGTTTCACAACACCCAGATGCACATTCATGTCATGATTCCGAGTAATCGCTCCAGTTGCTCTCCTATGTTGTTTGATCATCTGTCGCGCGGCTTCGTGTGGTACCTGAAAAGTATGCTGCAAACAACATGTAGCCACTGTCGCTGACGGTTCAACGCAGCGTGCTCTGTCTCCTTGATGGCTTCTTGCACATCCTTCTTCTCTTCGTCCAGCGGCGTGACCTCTTGCCTCACGAAGCAAGCGCATAGAAAGTGTGAGGCTGCAGATTGTATTACACGGCGAGCTACGCTCCGAACACTCTGGAAATGGTCTGTTGACGCCCTAGTCTTGCACAAGCCTGGTCTGCTGTGATAGGCAAGTTGCAGTTCTTCCATCATCTCCGCACCAACTGATTGGAAAAGTGCCTGTGCGCCGGTAGCCAGACGAAGCTCTGTTTTGTTGCTTTGTGGGAACTATGCGGAGCGACACACAACGACAAGTGTCAAAGTGACAGCTCTTGGAAGTGGGAGTTTGTGCACGGCCGAACTCAGTGGTCCTCAATCCAATATGTCAAAACCTTCATGTTTCTGGGACAGTAAGGCCAGAGCTTCCACATGTGCACAAATCGGAATGCGTTTTAAAGATGATGCCGGTGGCTGAAGCCGTAAGTTGAAAACCACGCACGTTGAACCCCTGCAACCTGGAATTTCAGATCCATCGCAAATCCTGAAACCGAACGGAATGCTTTACTCAAGAAAAACATAGACATAGAATTTGTGGACTCTCCGAGAAGAATACATGTCTAGAGAATCCTCAAAATATCCATGTCTGAACTCTCCGGCGGAGCTCTGGAACTTGGCCGGTCGGACAGTTCCAGGTGCACCTGGGAGCTGAGAAAGGTTCAGGGAGAGGGCAGGCGCTCGCACTTTGGAGGTGTACTACACCGTTCTGGCAAGAAAAGCAGGATTCGTGTCCGTACTTACCCAGTGCCCTATATCACTGGACTGGACCGCAGGTGAACTTACCATATCCCGCAGAGACCGACGGAGACCGAATGGCTCGAAGCTTGAAGGACACTTTGCTAAAGGGGTTACATAGATGGTGCGGAAACGGGCAACTGAATAGTGGATTCCCTCCTGCTACCTGCTCTCCACTCCTGAGGCTTGCTAAACCCCGCTAGTTCTGCAAAGATGCTGGTGAAGGCCTGTTTGGTCCAGCTTATACTTCAGGTCCCCAGCGCAGAGGACTGGCTCACAATGCTGCAGCTTAACGGCTCCTTCCAGCTTGGAGAACGATTCGTGAGGGCGCTGTGAACGAGGCTGCGACAGCGTCTGTCCTAAGCCCGTTCCCGCGATGGCGGCGCCATGCTTGGTCAGCGTAGTTGCTGCCAACAGCTTTATGAACTTGGCCGCGACCTCCGAAGTCTGCTCACTTCACACACAGGTGTCGGAGGCAACGTAGCTAGAATCCGGTACACGAAATGCCGGTTAAGGAAGCAGTTTCGCTCTCCATCTCGGAGAACCCCGCGCCCGGCCCCCCACTCTGCGGGAGCCTGTCCAGTCTGGTTCCTTTGGGGCTGTTCGGAGTTTGGAGTGCGAAAACGTGTGTCTTCTCCCTCATTTTGTTTGCATGCCCGACAGCATTCACTGCATGTCATCCGAGGCTTGCCTAGGGGCATTGATTTGAATAGGGCTTTGAAATCGTAGCAGAATGTACATTGTGACTAGAGGGGATACTATTGCCGCAATTGACCGCTATTGCCGTGTGCGACCGCCCGGTGTCCACTGCGTCGTTCAACATCAACGAAGTGGCTGCTCGCAGACTGAGTGTGTCCAGAGAAACGGTTTCGTGGTTCTTCCCTGTGGTGGCTACTGCGGGGAGCTTGTCTTCCGTGAAGGGGTCCCACTTGGTGTGCTTACGCTTGCGGCTGAAGTGGCTTGGAAGTCAGCGTCTCGGGTGTCCCCGTCAGCTCTGGCAAAGCTGGCTTGGAAGTGTGCCAGCAGCGCCCCCCGCCAGCCGCGGTTGCATTTGAGCGTGGCAGTGTATTCATCCCCGTCCTTGTGCCTCCTGTGGTCTCGGTATGGCCAGTCCTGTTGATTGACTTTGTTGATCGCCTGCTGCTTCCATACTTTGTATTCCTTGCTATTTTTGCTTCCACGCTTATTTGCGACCTGGGCCGGGGGCACGGCGTGCTTGCACATCTCGACAAAGCGGGTGTTGTCTCCTCGCCCTGTTTGGTGATGGCTTTGCTGGTGGTGTCCTCCCCTGGCAGTTGTGCTGCTACGTGCTCCTGTGAGCAAATTTGGGGCACGGCTGTGCGGGGTCTTGATGGATTCCTGGTCGGACCTAGCCAGGTCTCGGCCTTCCCCACGCAGCCTCGGATGTTGGACGCGCCTTGGGGTGAGCGACGTGCCTCTTGGGAAGTGGGATTGGCTGGAAGGGGTCCGGGGCTATGGGATGAGCGCTGAGGAACCGAGCCCACAAAGAGGCCTGTGAGGGTAAGGTGCAGCTTTCCGCATCCACACGGGCACGTAGGAGCACACACAATGCGCAGCAGCAGAGCAGAATGCACCCTAGCGTGGCAGCAGAGGAACTCGATGCGTTTCCCACGACCTCGCAATGTCCTTGAAAATGATGCAGCCGCCCCCGCATTTCACGGACTCGCGAGGGTTGATGGAGCAAGCACGTTGGCGCGAACCGCTTTAAAGAAACCCCATGGAGAGGCAGAGGCGCTATCATTCTGAAAGCGCCGGCGCGGCTCGCTCGTGCGATTGGGACAGCTGGAGCCACAGGTACTTGATCTTGGCGCGTAGAGCAATGTTTGCTGGCCTGACTCCGCGGAGCAAACCGAGAGTCTGTCCCTGAGCTGTTGAGGATGTATCTCTGTCGACTCGTTGGTCCATCACCATTAGCTGGACAGCCTTGAGGGTTGCTTCCGCAGCCCCAATCTCTGCTCTCAAAGTGGCCCTGCTAATCTCCCGCACCGCTTCCTGGATGGCTTCCAGGCTGAGCTTCTCCTCCTTTGGCGGCCCCCGCCTTTTCGCCGGGCTGCTACGCTCCGGATACATTCCCGCATCCGCCATCTCGCCAATTTGTAGGCAAGATTTGCTAGCTCCCTGGATTTGCTAATTGCTCAAACACGTAGTGCAGGCAGGAGGCGATCGGGGTGGGCAAAGTTCAAGGTCAGCCGCGCAACTACCGAAAAAGCCGCCGATCTCGCGTGCCGGTAGCAGACGTCAATGTCTCGGTGGTGGTGCAGCTTGTAGGCTGCAAATGCCGTGTGGGACCGTGCTGAAGGTACTTTTGAGGCTGCGCGGATGCGACAGAAAAGGCTCCGGGTTGCGACTCGCCGGTCTCTCCGGAAGCGAGAAGAGAGGCATTGTGTGGCAAAAGAGCGGCTCAGCCTCACGCACTCGCGGCTTGATCCAAAATGGCTACGTCTTTAGCTTGCTTGCCAGCGTGCTTGGTGTCTTGGGGTTGTACATGTTTTAGCTCTAGCTCTCTCTCGTTCTCTCCCATCGGCCAGGTCAATAGGGAGTTGTGGGGGCTTGCCCACCACATGGCAACGCATCGACATGCTTGATATTACGCTCTCGTAACTCGGACTCCGCCAGACGAGGTCTCTGTGTCCAGCTACGCCAACTCCGACTAACTTGAAGCGGCAATCACTTTCTTGCTGATGCCTAGCAGGGCCTAGCAAGCAGTCACGGGTCAGTTTGTGCTTCTTTTGATGGCCTTGGCATCGCTGTTCTTCTTTTGCTCCACATCCTTCTTCGTCACGTGGTCCTTTTCCAGGCTGGCCGAACTAACTATGAACTAATCCCCTGTTCTTTGACAGTGGTTTGCCAAAAATACTCTACCGCGGTCGACTCTAGCTCGGCTTGTGCCTTTGTAGCACCAGCCCTGACACAGTTTCTTCCGGCTACGAGCTAAAGCGGTTCGATCTGCTATAGTCGATGAGATGCTGGGGAAGTTTAGCTCCGTTCCGTGGGCGCCCATCGCTTGTCGACCGGACAGCACCTCTGGCACCGGCCGAAACCCCGGAAGCGACAGGTTAGTTACGCCATGGACTGTTAGCACTTGGATGAGTTCTTCCAATCTGTTTTACTACGGTTTCTGATATTAGCGTCTTTCGCCTGAGCGTACGGACGTGCTTGTCATAGCGAGCAGTTTGGCTGGGTAGTGACACTGGTTCGAACCCTACCAAACACAAGGCAATGCAGGATTGGACTGTGCTGATGAAGCCGAAGCTTGCCCGTGTTGCGATGCACATGATATAGGGTCTTCATATTAGAATACAGTTTTTGGGGGCATTTTGCAGCGTAATGTTATGTATGGTAACTATACGATGACCAGAATGGCGTCAGCATGTTCAACAGATCACAACTTACAGAATCAAAATGACGCGCTCGGCTCCTCCTCCATGAGCTCGGGCATTTCCAATTTCACTTGCTCGACGCATTTCTCCAAGTTGTTCCGCTCCTTCGCGAAGGCATCAACATTAGAAATCCAACCATTCCCATCGGGCCGTAATCCGTACATCTTTGAAGGTCGGACTGTGGTCAACTCCCCGTTCCCCCACCGCCCAGCCTATGATACTACGTTTCGCCCTCCGCGTATTGATTATCCGACTGCCCCTTCGATCCGATGACGGAAAAACCCCAATGCGGCCATCGATGTCGCTTTCCGACTGTGTAAGGCTAAAACTCTCATCCCAATTTCAAGTTGCAAGGACTTCCGCAGTCCACTACCGAAACAGACCTCCCCGAGCTGAAGAGTATCCCTTCAAAACGAACCACAGGTAGCAACCCGAGAGGTGGTCGAAACAAAATCACGTTCGAGCAGTCGCTGTGAAGATCCTACCAAGTTGGCCCAGGCACAAGTNNTCGCATCTCGTCATTGGAGAGTGCGGACAACAAGCACTGCCAGAGTAAACAAGTTACAACTTAGAGCAGTGTATAAATGGCATCGCAACGACTGTACACCACGGGTGCCAGCTAAGTGGCTGCAAAACCTTAAGAAAGGCGCCCACACAGAAGCTTGAAGAGCGACGTGTCAGGCACTACCACTCTTGTGAAAAGCTTCGACAATGTCACGCGCTACCGGAGCCCTGGCTGTACAATGACAAGGAGGCAATCAGTTGAGTTCGTGACGGGAGTCAGAAGACGGTGCCAACAGCCACAACCACAGCAGCAGAAGAAGCCAAAGTGGTGGAGCCAGCAGCCGTGGTCGTCAGAAGACGTGTTTCACAGTGCAGCGAGGATCAGGAGGTCCGTCAAACGGGAAGAGTAGCATCGCCCACAGATGCAAAGCCACGAAGTGAAGAGAAGCGGCAGGTGCAGTGCAGCTTCCGTCCTTTGCCACATGGAGGAAGATGCTGCGAGCATCCAGGGCCCAGCAGACGCACCCGGTCATCCGAATCACGCCTCTGAAGTGCCCAGACACGGGCAGCCTTCGGTAAGTAAAGTCCGCGATAGTGGTGCCGAAGCCATTGCGTCGCCACCCCAAAGGACTCGCAGCCGATATGAATTTTCCTAGGGTCGCCCTGGGCATCCCAACAGTAAAGGACCTTTGGCATCAGTGGACAGCCACCACCGTAAGCGTTGCAACGCGGGCACGAGCATCGGAAGCACCTTGGTCACACAGGCTGGGACCTCAGACAGAGGGAGGGCTTCTGTCCAGTCCATGGGCCGTACTGTGGAATGCCAGTAGGCTCGTAGAGTCGCCACATCCAGATTGTATTGCAGTATTGCGGGTCCAAAAACCAACCAATGACCTCATGCAGCAGAATGCGAGCAGCACCCTTAACAGCACATCGGTCGTCCAGGTCTGGGGCTTCGGGGGCATAAGCAGCAGCCCAAGTAAAGCACAGGGCGATCAGAGATCGTAACAAGAGCTCTCTACGGCTTGGCGCAATTCATGAAAGGTGCCGTGTGCCAGGAGCAGCAGAACACGGTCCTCTACATCGCCATATCCAGAAACGGGCAGTCTGCAGGTGTCGCCCCGGTCCAGGACGCAGCACGTGTCTCGAGGAGTGAGCCAGGAAGCGCCAGGAAGCCGCCTGGCTGTTCAGAAAGTTTGCGCCTGCAATGACAGGAAGGACGGTTATGGGCCTTGATTTACCCCATGGCTTCCATAAGAGGCTGGTGCGGCCTGTGTCACAAGCCTCAGCTGCCATTTCCCACCGCTGCATCAGCAATGAGCAGCAAGGCAGAGGCTGGCCAGGCGTCGGGGCCTGGAGCCTTGGTATGCATTGTGCTTGCGGCCGCCTTGAGGTCAGCTGCCGTGTCTGGACACTCTGGCTTCGGCACCGAGGCGAGGATGGGGGCAAGATCCGCTACCGAACTGGGCCCAAGTTGCCACGTCTTCTGCCAGATGGCAGCCTGCTTATCCACTTCCACGGGTGGGTGCTTGCCCGATTTGGGAACCACGGCACCGGCCTGTTCATGTTCCCACTGAAGGATCGCGTCAGTGCGGCGCTTGATGTAGGTGCGGGCAGCAGCCACATCATGCCGAACTTGATATTTCCACTGTTGTTTGGAAGCCTGCCGCTCCTGAGGGTCACGTCTGCTCTAGGACTCTACGGCAACGACGGGGGTTGCTGGCTGCCAGGGTGCAGACCTTTGGATGGCCCCATTGTCCGGCAAGCAAAGGACATTCTCGGCGCAATCTGACAGCGCAGCCCAAGCCACCTCGGTGTTGTGGCTTTCGAGGGCAGCATAAATCCATCAGGGGGACCATTCAGCAAAACAAATAGGCCGCGGCCTGCCTTGTCGAGATGTCCGGCTTGAAAGGTCGTCGGCGGGGCCCACTCCGAAGCATGGGGGCCGCCACGTCATACTCGCAGGAGACCACAAGGTGGTCCGACGGGCCCTCATGATGAGAGACAGTTTTTGCCTGGAGTTGCACGTGTGGAACTGCAAAGTCTATGCGCGTTGGTCGCCGCCTACGTCGGGCCGGTAGGTTGTAAAGAGGGAGGCGGACAGCAGGAGCCCCCGCAACTTACCTGACCTGATGCAAAGTGTTCCAGCAGCGAGGCATGACTAGGCTCAAGATTGTAATCTCCTACTATCATGAGAAAGCGAAAACCGGAGTGCAATGCTTGCTGCAACAGATCTTCCGCCTGTCCAGCTGTTGTGGGCTCATCATCATTAACCTGAAGGTAAACCCCGACAAGAAGGATAGGCTCGACCGCCCCTGCCTCATTGACACAATCAATGCGGCCGGCAACGTAGCGACAATTGGCTTCCTCAGTGTGCAGGCGAACTTGTCGTAGGGGATGGGCACTGACGAGGGCCACTTTGCACACTTGGGCATCTCAACTTCATGCAATATCAGCACATCTGGTCCTGAAGATATTGTTCGATTCGCTCGTGGATAGAGCAACCACGTCGAGCCACGTTGACGGTGGCCACAGTGCAGCTCAGAAACACGGGGGGGGTGTTGGAGGTCTTGCGAAGGAGGTCCAAAGCCTGAGCAAAGAACGTGAGCTCGTGCGCGTGCGCCTAGGGCTTTGGCTTTCGGTACTTAGCCTCAAGCTTGGGAGCTGCATAATCCTAGGCTGGATCTTGCCTGGCAGCTAGATCTCCAGTTTTCCCTCGGCCATGAGGATAGCCCCGCAGGAGTTACAGCACCACGCTTGCTCGAAGAAATATGCCTCTGTGCCACGGTTGGTCCTTGGCCTTCTTATTGCGAAGCAAAAGTGGGAGTGGCGCCCAATCGCCTTTGGGCGGTGCGGTCGCATGCTTCCTGTCACGTTGGGCCATCCGGGTGATCGCAGATTGCGGCGCCACTTGACAGAGGCAGGCTTTCTCCAGGTCTTCCACGAAATCTGTGGATGGGCCGGGTCCGATAATCTCGGATGTCCCGGTCTATTCGCACCTTGCCAGCCGAAGTCGAGGCTGGCACCATTCATTGGACCAGTCGCGGCGACCAACGGGACGGCGACCTCATCCTGATCGGCTGTCCGACTCGGCAGGCGCCCACAGCACGTCTTCACCTCAGACCAAACCGTACGAGGCTTGGAGAGGGCTTCCAGCGAGGGCTGAGGACCACGCGGTACCGGGCCTGGTGCACACTGACGCAGTAGATCGACTTGCCACCCGCACAAAAGCCAAAGGGCGGAGGGTAAGGACAGGCAGTAGCCCCTTGGGGTAACCGCGCCCCGCAGTTGGCAGCAAAAGGCCAACATGCTTGCCGTTGAGCCAGAGAGCAAGAGTCACTTTGGGCTTGTGCGTGGTGAAGGCCTCCGGCTCAAGTTTGGTGTCAGCGGGCACCACAGCAATGTTCAACTGCCAGCTGCATGCCAAGACCCGAAGTTCAAGATCAGAAGCATAGGCAGCCTCCTTGCCTAGGAGCTCACAGTAGGGGTCGAAGGACCTTGTCGCCATTGGTATTGCACCCACCCATCCCACATACTTTCGTATTTCGCCGTATATTGCTGAAGGTGGGTCACTACGCCGGCCGGCGATTCACGAGCATGAGGAGCATTCTTCTTCGGGTACAGCCATTTAAGGCCGGCAGCAAGGCATGAAAGACGCATGATCCATCCTTAGGTGCCGTCTGGAGCTTACATCCTTCTCGTGTGCCTCTGGCCAAAGTTTGGCCTTCTTACCAGCACCTTGTTGCGTCTTTGGCAGTAAGGGCACAAGGTCCCGATCAGGTTCCTTTGCCGCAGCCCGGAAAAAGAAGACCTTAAAACTTTTGTTTCGCAGCTGGCGTGCAGAGTGAGGTCGCTGAAAGCTGGAGTAAGTAACCTGCCGGGTCCTGCACAGGACAACGGCACACCTGAGGATATCTCGGACCCTTCCGGGTACTCACTCCAAACCTCAAGTGCAGCATCACACTCAGGGTTGGGCACACAATTGGGGTTACTCACAGGTGGCATCTCTGGCTGTATGAACAAGGCCAAACAGTCGAGGACGCCCTTGCAGAGTTAAGGAAGGGCACTTGCATCAGACGAGTCTGCGCATCAAGTGGTCGGCATGTGGAGGACCAGTGGAGGATATTACGGGCCCTGACAGGCGCTCACGACCGACATCACCCCAAACCTCACGTGCAGCAACACAGTTGGGGCAGAAATCACACGCGGGAACATTCTCAAGCGAAGTCTTGGGCTGCAAATGCACAGGCAAAACTGCTGAGGATAACCTCGGCCTTTTCGGGCACACTTGACCTGCAAGAGGTGCACAAGCCAAAGCCTCAAGCTCGGCATTATCGGGTACCTGCTGGCATTTCACCTGGGGGGCGGCACGGCCAGGGCACAGCACACGCTCGGGAGCTGAGTTTCCATGGCGGCACGGCAGGTCAAAATCACTACCGGACACCCCGAACGGGCCGGTCTCCTAGGCCCGCAGTGGGCAGCTCTTGTGTTGTTTTTTCTGGTCTTCGGGCCCGGTCCCCTTTTTCATACTTTCTTCGGATCAAGTTCTTTGTGACTCTTGTCGGTTCTCGGGTCCGGCTCCCATAGCAAAGCACCGTCG